TATTTCAGCTCTACTTACAAAAAAATCCCTTTAATTATCATTTAATTACACATTTGCATTTTCAGTGTTTTTTTTTTTTTTTTTTTTTTTTTTACATTTTAAATAAAATTCGGATTAGACATTTTGCATTAGATCAACGTATGAGTAAAGCATATTAAATGAATGAAAGTAGTCTACAAGTAAGAAAGAAATATTACTATTGTAGATCTGTATCCGTCATCACAAGCCGATGATGAAAACTGTAATACTAAATGTCTAAAGCGAAAATGCAAGGCAAACATACGCTGCAAATTACATGTCTGAGGCAATAAAAAAAAAAGCAAACAAATTAGATCAATACAATTTTTTATCATTACATCAAGCTAATATTTCACCTTTCTAACAGTTGGTAAAGCCTGGATGTGTAGGAAATACTGGAGGCAACAAGGTGGTTCACTCAATTGAAACAATTTTTACAAACATCATCAGTGGGGTCGCACTCACTCCGCTACGAAACAACAACAAAAAATGTCCACTTTACCCAACCCCAGTGTTTTCACTAAACCAACATGACTTAGAGGTGCGTTCCGTGAGACGTGTACAACTGTATAACGTTACTTTAGCTTCATTCATCGAATGTTAGACGTGTACAACTGTATAACGTTACTTTAGCTTCATTCATCGAATGTTAGACGTGTACAACTGTATAACGTTACTTTAGCTTCATTCATCGAATGTTAGACGTGTACAACTGTATAACGTTACTTTAGCTTCATTCATCGAATGTTAGACGTGTACAACATCGATGCAGCTCTTATATTACACAATTGTTTGCAAAATGTACCATCATATTTGAGCATAAAAATAAAAGTATATTTTGAAAAAATAATTTAAACTGTGCAAAATGTCTGTAAATTAAAGTCTTGCCTGGGGTGTGGACAAACCAGCGTATCATCATCTAAGATCCACCATATCACCGTCGTTGTTTATACTTAACACATTCAACTTTATAAAAAAAAAGTTTTTTTTAATGCAGTAGGCCTACTTGTAATGGCTTGATAAAATATTCTTATGATGGCCCGTTTAAGTTTATAAAGAGCAGCCGCTATGGCCAGAGCTGTTTCTTTAAAATAATTAGCAGTGTTGACGTCAACACCTCGTTCAACAAAATAATGAAGCGATGTAACAAAACTGTATTTTATCTACCTTAATCATTTAAATGGGAAGTAGCTGTTACAACTAACATTAAATGTGTGACATCATTTATGTAGTGAAGGTCGTGATGGTGAAAGTCAGATGGGTCACGAGCGAGGGGATGACACCAAGTAAAAAAAAAAAATTGCAATATGTGTAGAAGAAATATGCTTTTCGACAGTACAGTGAATGTAAATTAAATTTTAAAAGTCTATTAAAGTTTGTAAGTACTTATGTTTCTAATCAATTATAATATTGTGTATATATTAATGTTAAAATGTAAATATTACGTTGTGTTATAGTATTTGGTAATTACTAAATGTAACATACTGTTTTGGTCAATTGTATTTAAATTTGATTTGACGATGTAAATAATGGAGTGAGTTATGTTAAACTTGATGGGTTTTATGTGGTAAGAGATTGCAGACATAAAAGGTTTCAATCGTATTATATAGGACAGTAAAACAGTGGCTTTCTTATGTACAAGTTTTTTTTTTTTGTAACGAGTGTATCGTTCAGACTACACACGCCATTGACAATATTTTGTAATGTGTTGCTAAATTTTTGTAAATAAAACATGCAAAGTACTGAAAAAAAATTCATAAAAATCGTTTTAATACATTCAACGATTGTCCCCTTGGCGCTTATCACCATCATCACTGGTTATGTTTCATTTTTGAAGAGAATTTTTAAATTAATATAACGAATGTATGTTTTACATTTCAATGTCTGTATTTCCGATATTACTTTACGTGTTTTTCTTCGAGGAAAATTCCTTGTCCAATAACGAGCTTAAAAGGAAGAAGACATCAAGAAGATTGGATACACCTGGGGACATTTGGAGAGATTTGTCCAGGACAGAGAGGCCTGGAAAGCTCTTGTCAGCGGCCTATGTTTCCAACTTAACTTTTTCGGCCCCCCCCCCCCTACCCCCGCAACCCAGATCTGCATATTTTTTTTCTGTCAGAAAACGCAGCACACATATCAGTAAACTGTTCAAAAATGCCCCACCATCTACCCAATGTTCATATATATATATATATATATATATATATATATATATATATATATATATATATATATATATATATATATATATATATATATATATATATATCTAATATATAAAGCTCAGTTCTGTAACGTGTGGCAAAAAAAAAGTTTGTCGTTGACAGTTCTATGGATTTAAGTGTTAGATTTTTTATCGTGCTCACAGTCTAAATTTACGAGTGAAACAATTACGATTGAAAGTCTTTAAAAACAATTTTCATTCTATTTACTTAGAAGAATAATTTTCAATTATGAACGCGACATAAAATATTTAAAAAGTGTATCGACGTTTATAAAATTTCTAAAATTGTGTCGGAAATGTATTGACTGCACAGTTACTTCCCTTTAATAAAAAAAATTCTTAAGAAGAAAGAATTTACATTTTATTACTTTGTTTTTGGTGTTAAGAAAAAAAAAATAATTACATAATTAGCGGGGATTGATTAAGTGCAATGTCGTTAGGTATTTTTAACACTGCCTTTTATTTATTCTATACACTGAACATACTGTTCAATATTTTTTTTTTAAATCAATAACATTTAATAAGCCAGGTCCTACAAATCCTATATGTTTATTTCTTTCCATTTACGGATAAGCTTGGAGTATTATCATTTTTGTTCACTAAATTGAAACAGGCGCGTCCGCCGGCGCCCTTGCACGGTTCGATTTGGCACCCTGGGCTATCATGTGAGCGCTATGCTGCATAGTTTTGTTTTTAACAGTGCGATAGACTATGGGTAAGAAAGGTTACTATAGTCTTTAAGTGAATCAAATCCGGGCGTCCTCCGGCACCCCGACAGGGTGCTATTTGGCGCCCCGGGCCTTCCGGTGTACGCTATGGTATATACGTTCGCGTGAGTTCAAAAGACTATGAATAAGTTATGTACTATAGTCGTTTACTAAGTTCAATCAGGCGGTGACGTCATGGTGCCCAGACAGGGTGCTATTTGGGGTCCCGGGCCTCCCGTGTTCGGTTTCGCGCCTACGTTCATTAAAGTGAGTGCAAAAAACTATGAATAAGTTGGGGTACTATAGTCGTTTATTAAGCTGAAACAGGCGATTCCGCCCCGGGCTAGACTCTGAGCACTGTGCGTTTATGTTCGCGTTAGTGTTTTCTTTGTGTTTAGGTTGGGTTTGCGTTAGTGGTTGCGTTTTGATTTGGTTCGTTTTTGTTCTTTCTTTTTTCGTTTTCGTTTGTGTTTTATTTTCTTTGCGTTTGTGTTTGTATTTGTGTTTGTGGTTGGTTTTGCGTTTGTATTTGGTTTGTTTTCGTTTGTTTTTTCGTTTGTGTTTTTTTCTTTGGGTTTGAGGTTGGTTTTGCATTTGGATTTGGTTTGTTTTCGTTTGCTTTTTCGTTTGTTTTTTTTCTTTGTGTTCGTATTGGTGTTTGTGGTTGTGGTTGGGTTAGTTGTTAGGTTTTTGTTTTCGTTTGTATTTGTAATTGTGTTAGCGTTATGTTTGCGTTTTGTTGTTTTGGTTTTGGTTTGGGTGTGCAATGCCGGGTTTATGATGATTACTAAACACACAGGTAATGGTCTTTAACAGAAAGGTTTTTCACAGAAGCCAGAGCAGGGCCTGGCCGGGACGGCTAGTATATATATATGTCTTAGTAGCTTGCTTTGCTAACTTTTAAATTAATCTATTTCCTAACTGAGTAATTTATCATATTTCATTTATAAGTATAACTATACTGAGACAACAAACCAGACAAAACTATGTCCAGACAAAAGTGTAAGTAATTTTAAGACAGCAAAGATCAGCAATGCTGTAGTCTATTGATGGTGGGATAATGTTGTGTGTCATTGATGTTGTATAGCCGGACGTATGATGTGGTTATTGCTGTGGTCTAATGTTTTGGTCTCATGGTGTGGTCTGATGTTGTGATCTGATGGTGTGATCTGATGGTGTGGTCTGATGGTGTGGTCTGATGTTGTGATCTGATGGTGTGGTCTGATGTTGTGATCTGATGGTGTGATCTGATGGTGTGGTCTGATGGTGTGGTCTGATGTTGTGATCTGATGGTGTGGTCTGATGTTGTGATCTGATGGTGTGATCTGATGGTGTGGTCTGATGGTGTGGTCTGATGGTGTGGTCTGATGGTGTGATCTGATGGTGTGGTCTGATGTTGTGGTCTGATGTTGTGGTCTGATGGTGTGATCTGATGTTGTGGTCTGATGGTGTGGTCTGATGGTGTGGTCTGATGTTGTGGTCTGATGGTGTATTCTGATGTTGTGGTCTGAAGTTGTGGTCTCATTTTTCTGTCTCACGTTGTTTGTGTAGCATTTCACAACTGTTAATTTGTCCTAAAGATATCTGATACCAGTTTCTCTTACACGAATTTTAATTTAGCCTCGTCAATTAAACAACGAGTGCAATTACAAAAAGCTTTAATAAAGCATAACTCTGGGAACGTTTTTATTTGCTAATTCAATACCGCAGTACCAAAAGTGAAGATCGAACAGCCAGATACTGGTTACTATCTAGACAATCTAAATACGTTTTTCTCGTTGTTTTTATAGTTCAGTTGCTTTTATTCCGTTGTGACTCCTAGATGATGCTGTTAACGACACGCAGAATGTGTGACTCTTGGTCTTTAACGACAGAAGGCTAGAAAATACATTGAGATTGGTGGATTTTTCAGATTTGCGTTTTTCTAGTTCACGATGTGTTAGTTCAAAATATGAATAGAAACGATGTTTGTGTATAAGTCGTGTCACAACGCAGGGGAAAAAATTGATGACAAAGCTGAATACAATGTTATGTAGATAGTAGACACTATGGCACACATCTGGACCATGGTTGTTATTATACTACCGTGTATGATCAGTCAAGGTTAGTCTTACGTTTTGTACGTTTGTTTTTTGTAAAAATAGTAATGAATAAGCAGACATAAAATACCTAAATATAAATTACAATATGCATGTATCTATATGCACGATTTTACACCTTCTTTAACACTCATAATTTTAAAATTATTAAATAAGCGTTTTTTTTTTACTTTAAGTACACACTGTTCATAGATTAGTTGGCATGTTTATGCTGCTGATATTTACCTTAAAAAAATTACTTTTAGATTAGAAGGTCTGCAATATAAATAAACATTATGTTTATTTTGTGAGCGGAAGGTTTATTAAAATATACAAAAAATTAAGCTCATCTTTATCGGTCCTTGACATTTAGTAATGTAGCCGGATCTGTGTCAAGCAGTCCTGTAGTTATATTGTCAGCTCTGTGGATAAACATCAGATTAACTATCTAAATTTTTAATTATTAAATAACAAGTATTCACATTTAGCCCAGTCAACAAAACAGATAAAACAAACCCAGTATAAAGCTGTTGATGACACACACTTGACCACACTGCCCATCAATGTAGAGTTTGACGAAGTTAGTCTTTTGTCCTGCGCCTCGCGTTGTTCAAGTTTTAAGAAAACGTGCTATAGCTACATCTACAACAAAACCACAAGACATTGTATCCTGGGTAAATTTGCATATTTTCATTATTGTTATGATCAAAAACATTATGGTACAAATTTAATTAAATGTACTAATAAATAAATAAATAAATAAATAAATAAATAAATAAATAAATAAATATATATATATATATATATATATATATATATATATATATCAGATATAGACTTGATGATTTGTTTGGGTGAGCTATTTGGTTTATTTCTTTGCAATTAGGTCATTTTTTACGGACATTTGTGCACACGGTCAAATAATTTTTTTTTTTAATATTAAAGTGCTATTGGATGGGTAATTAAAAGTATTTATATTAAGTACTTTTTAATAAGTGTTTGCAAAAAAAGAACAAAGATAATGCTGGTGTGCTGCAGAAAAAAAAAACGAACGTTTTATAAAATTACACCTACAGATAAACTTACACCTTCATGAAACCTACAACTTTACTTTTACTAGCATATACAATTACAACTACATATATACGAGACCTACATACAAACATACAGCTAAATAAACTTACTCTTACAAATCAAATTACATGTAAAGACAACTTACATTTACAGATAAACTTACATGGTCATACAAACTTACACAAATATATAAACTCAAGCCTACGACTACTTCCAACCTATACCTTCAACTAAAACTCCACAGATGTCTACGCTTACTCGTAACACACACACACACACACGCTTAGAGTGTTACTACGCCAATTGGATTTTACACGCTAACTCTTACAATTTTACTACGCCAACTACTTTGTGAATTCTACATTTCTAGCTGTTTTGAACTTTTCAAAGTATGTGCGTTCCGGAATAACTTACAAAGAGCTCATGAAACATAGACGTAAACAATATTGAAACTATTGTATATAATTGTATTTTATTTTATTTTATATCAGGTAAGGATCAATTATGCTACGTGTCCACAAATGATCCCCGACCTTTGGTGACCTTCAACCCTGGACTTCAGGTCATGTGTGACACAGTGACAGACGGTGGAGGATGGACCATTTTCCAAAGACGTGTTTCTGGGTCTGTCGATTTTTACAGGAGCTGGGCGGAATACAAAAGTGGGTTTGGTGATTTCAGTTTGGGTAATTTTTACCTGGGCAATGAGAACGTTTATCTCTTAACGGCAAACCGTCAAACAGAACTAAGGGTAGATGTGATCCTTAACGGGCAGAATTATTTCGCCAAGTATTCCAGCTTCAACATATCTAGCGAGGCAGACGGCTACAGGCTACATGTTGATGGCTACACAGGAGATGCTGGGGACGGTCTAGCAGGACACGATAGTATGATGTTTTCAACATTTGACCGGGATAATGACTTATACAGCGATAACTGTGCCCTTATGTGGACTGCGGCGTGGTGGTATAAATCTTGTCGTAGCTCTGATCTTAACGGCGTTTGGGGTACAAACAATTTATTCTGGGTGTACAGCAGAAATCTATCATTCGTTGAAATGAAATTTAGATCAGCCTAACAACAGAATGAGTCTAAATCATTATTTAATAAATAAATTAGACTAGTTGTTCCTGTAGAATATATATATATATATATATATATATATATATATATATATATATATATATATATATATATATATATATATATATATATATATATATATATATATATATATATATATATAGGGGTGGGGGCCCATAACTTTTTTTTGGGGGGTTGACCCTTTTTTTTCTAGTTCCGCCACTGGTATATACGCTTGTGTATGAGAATGTAAATGAGTTTTTTGACTTGAATGCGTGCCTGTATGTCCTCGTGTATTGGCTTGCGTATTTCGTCAAATCATTTAACCATAGTAGGTTTAGAATAAGTTCCACTTCGGGGATGTTCAGACAAACAGCTACACCACTGTCTGTAGACCTGAGCCCCTCTGCTACCTAGACAGATACAAGTTATGTACGTGTACCTGGTTGTGATATCATTCACCCAAAGCATGTGTACCCAGTGACCTAATGAGACCTTATTAAATCAACCTAACTAAACAAAATGGCGCTAGTAGACATTTTTACTTTCTCGTATATACGAAGTATACAGAAAGTCTTGTTGTCGTTCCAAAAAAATCGAGATTTTTGCAAATATCGACGTTGTACACCTCCCTGAGTGGGGTAAAACATAGTTTGCAATCTTGTCCGTATGTCTGTGTATGTGTGTGTGTGTATTTGTGTCTGTTTGTCTGTGTGTCTGTGTGTCTCCTGTGTGTCTGTGTGTCTGTGTGTCTGTGTGTCTGTGTGTCTGTGTGTCTGTGTGTCTGTGTGTCTGTGTGTCTGTGTGTCTGTGTGTCTGTGTGTCTGTGTGTCTGTAAACACGATAACTTAAGTAACGTTACAGCTAGGTTGATGAAATTTTATATATAAGTGTTTTATCAAGATCGTAGATTCTTTTCAAATTTTTAGCGATTTCCGTTAATCGGAAGTGGATTTTTTTTTTATTTTGAATTTTTCAAAAGCCTATAACTTGAGTACTATTTCAGATAGATAAATGAAATTTCACATGTGAGTGAAATATCTAATCCTCTGCTTTCTGTCAAATTGTGAATAATTTCGGATGACCGGCAGTAGTAATTTTCGCTATTTCCGATTTTTTACTCCCTGTTTATTTAACATTGTCATAAAGTGAATACATATATTCCTAATGTTTAAAATGCAACCATATTATTATAAACATACTATTGTCAGCCACTTACGTCTTTATCCAACCAACGCTAAGCAAAAATAAAACGGCTATAGCCCACCACTGGTCTGTGATATAGATCGTGTCTGTGCTATAGGCTACAGCTTTGTATCTGATCAGGTTGTGGGTAATGACCAGTGGCTACCCTCGGACCTATGAATATTGGCAGGTCGATATCTATTTAATCTTTTCGAAAAATATATGGAATGTATGTCTGAATATGTCTTACCTACGTCATATTTGTATATGCTTATCATTTATGTCAAATCTGATGTAATATTTATAAACGTCATTATACAGTTTATATACTTCAAATACACGCCTTATATGTATGAATTATATACCTCACATGTGAGTCGTAATTTCGTGTAAATCACGTTTTTGAACTTGTATTGTACATGCTGTTTATGCATGTTTACTTTTAAACATTATAGAAAAGAATCTTTCTAAACAATTAAACATGTTTATACGTCCTGTCTAATTTTAATATATATTTTTTTTTGCATTGGTGAATAAAATTAGTCACCAACAAAGCACTAAACAAATAAAACATTTTTAATAGTTAAAGTTAATATAAAATTGTAAAAATGTCAATTGTATTTTTACGGTACAAGCCTAGACGACAGCACATTATTTATTCAATCAGATCGATCAATCGATCTAACCACCTGTGCTATAATAGTTGAGTGTATGAGAACTTCCTGGTTTGTGAGTCTAGATGTCAGCAGTAGGCATATAGGTAGTTCGCTCTTCTATTTACACAACATATATATATATATATATATATATATATATAAATATAAATATATATATATATATATATATATATATATATATATATATATATATATATATATATATATATATATATATATATATATATATATATATATATATATATATATATATATATATATATATATGTATATATATATATATATATGAGATTTCATTGAGAAGGGGGGGGAGGATGGTGACATTATGGGGTTTTGCACCTTGTGACACCCGACGTAGTGACGTCACTTGTGCAAGTAATAGGTTTATTGATGTTAAATTAGGTGGATGTGATATTGTGACTGTGATATGTATGCAAATATAATATTGACTTTTGACAAACGAGCGATCGGAAATATTCTTTAAAATTTCTTTAAAACAATATAACAGCCGAATCCAACACTCACTAGAATCCTAAGTAGACATTGAAAAAGTAGAGATACGAATAACAGGTGCAATGAGAAGTCCGATGACCTACCATATCAGTTAAGCAGGGATTGCGTCTTAACTAAGTCGATGAGCAGATTGTTTAGTTGTAAGTTACTATAGTCGAACAGGTAGGTAGCAGTTTGCTAGTGTTGTTGTCGCATTTTGAGTTGATTTTAAAAAGTAGAGTTTTAGAACAGTAGATAACAGTACATTTAATGTAAGGTACATGTTCAGGTTCAGCGTATAAAAAAATAAGATATAAACTTTTGTTAATCTTTATTGGGTCGAGTGTTAGTTTTCTATTTACATTACACCATAGAAATATCATGGCTCTTAAGAGAAGGATACCCGATCATTATACAGCTATACAAACATAATAGACAATACAGTTAACATACCATGCTTCACAACACCAACATCACCAGATAAAACAAGTATAAACAATGTCAACGTTGTATTAAGTGACCGTTGAGGTTAAGTAACATATTAACCTAACTCTGCTTCTTCTACCCAATGTATCGCTAAGTTTTACAATAAATGTTACTTTAGCCGCCGTTAGTCTTGACTATGTACAGTTTGCTTCTTGTGTTTTATCTGTCAGAATAAATAAATTTTCGAGATAGAAAATAATGTGCTGTTACCAAAGCTCTTTGTTTTTGTTTAGTCGTGAAAACTGAAAAGATGTCTAGATCGCTAGTAGAGCACGTGATTGATTAGAACTTGCGCTAGTCTAATGTACATGTGTTTAATTAGATAGTGGTTTTATGTTTAAAGTCGAAATTAATTGATTGTAGTTATACATTATAAATAAACTTGTAATAACTCGAACCCGAATATCAGTGTGAACGTAAACATTAATATGGACGTAAACGTAACTGTAATACAGAACTGTAAATACCCCCACCACTCCCCCCCCCTTTCCCGCCAGATAAAATGTCGCCGTGTATGTTTTATTAAACCAAGACGAAAGTTACAGGTAAGTAGCTGACTCAAAGACCCATCCATGAACTATTAGAATTCAAACATCATTCTGACCAACTTTATTTTAATATACACACATTAAAAAAACAATTGCACACCAGTTTATACTATCGGGTTTCATCCCATTGCAAACATGTAAACTATAGAGAAAACAATGCTACATCCAACTGAACACATTACAGATGACGAAAAGTTAAGTTCTCATGCCATGTACAACTGAGTGATAAGTGAAATATGTATGTGCAATGCGCTTGTAACACTGTTGTTTATTAATAATAAATGATACTGATAGTGATAGTGTGAATTGTTGTATATTATTTTTATCCATGTTTTAAAATATTAAAATATACTGTTGATTTTTTTTTTTTTTTGCATTTAATATCATGTATTATTATTAAAATGATATACTCAAGATATAACTATCAAAACTATACTGTGTAAAACATAAAATAAATAATAATCACATTAACCAAACAATACGAAATAGTAGAATGATATGCACATCTTTCTTAGTATAACCAAACGTTACGAAATAGAATAAATATCAAAACATAAACCTTTTTCCCCCTCAGACATGTAATTTACAGCGTCAGTTTGCCTTGTATGTTCGCTTTAGTATTACAGTTTTCATCATTGGCTTGTGAGGACTGATACAGATTTACAATAGTAATATTTCTTTCTCACGTGTAGCCTACTTTCATTCATTTAAGATGGTTTACTTATACATAGATCTAATATAAAACGTCTAAATATAAAAAAATAAATAAAAAAACAACCTGAAAATTCAAATGTGTAAATATATATATATATATATATATATATATATATATATATATATATATATATATATATATATATATATATATATATATATATATATATATATATATATATATATATATATATATATATATATATATATATATATATATATATATATATATATGTATATATATCTATATATATAATTCTCCTCTTCGAGCCGTTAGAAAACAAGCTGCAAACGCTATCCCTACCTCCCCACCCCTACATGGTTTTAGTGAGCTGTGTTCACTCTAAATGTTTACAAGCAGAGCCAACGATTTTAAACGTGAGGGGGGGGGGGGGAGGGGGGGGGGGAGGAAGGGGGGGGGGGTTATGGTCCTTAACGAGCTACTTATAGTGTTTTAAAGAAATATTTTCAGTGTCAGCGTTGGTGAAAATTAGAAACAACTAAATAGCGGCGTATGTTATGCCGCGGGCCGGCTCGTATATATATAATTCTCTTCTTCGAGCCGTTAGAAAACAAGCTGCAAACGCTCTCCCTACCTCCCCACCCCTACATGGTTTTAGTGAGCTGTGTTCACTCTAAATGTTTACAAGCAGAGCCAACGATTTTAAACGTAGGGGGGGGGAGGGAAGGAAGGGGGGGGGGGAGTTATGGTCCTTAACGAGCTACTTATAGTGTTTTAAAGAAATATTTTCAGTGTCAGCGTTGGTACTGTCGAATTCACAAATTATGAATTATTGAAAATTAGAAACAACTAAATAGCGGCGTATGTTATGCCGCGGGCCGGCTCGTATATATATAATTCTCTTCTGCGAGCCGTTAGAAAACAAGCTGCA